TATTTTGATTGTTCACAGATATAAGCTATTTGGAGCCGTCGGTTATAGCGCTGGACACTATATATCTTACATACGAAGGTTCAGTGGAAAATGGGAAATACACAACAATTTGGAAAAGAAATTTAAAAATTGTGTAAATCCAGAAACAACAAAAATCAACCCACACTTAATATTTTACGCTGTTTAAAAAAAACATAAACATAAATATGTAATCACTTAGTATTTTTTATATTAATTTTATTATACTTAACACAAAACAAAATAAACATAAAAGGAATAGATGATATTATATTTTGTTCTTAAATATATTATAATAAAACAGTTATATTCAAGTATTTCGCGCAGGTAGGGTTGTCCCCTAACTCTAAAACGGAAATTGCGAGGGAGCGAGTGATTTGCAAATGTTGAAAATGAGTTTGCAAATTATTACAAAATATTTGCAAAATATTGGCACCGGTCCGAGATGGATAATAATCATTAATAAACAAAATAACAAAGACAATCTTTAGGTAGGTATATATATTTTAATATTAAATTACAATTTACTTACTTATAAATCATACCTAATTTATAAAAGTTTTTTTCGGAGCCAAAGTTTTGTAATATCGTTACATTTATTTGAAAATTGTAAGACGTTTATTGAATGTTATCTGTAAGCTTTAAAAAAAGGTAACTTAGTATAATAATTAATTATTATATGAACAAAGTAACTGATTTTTAGGTAAGTTAAGTTAGTTTTAAACTTACCTTAAATGTTTTCTACATTAACTAAACTTAACGAGTTTAAAAAAGTAGTTAACTTGCCCAGCCTTATACATTTAATGCAAATTACAATGTAATAGCCAATAGGTAAAAATTTACCTAGGTACTATAAATTACTGCACCTATTTAATAAAAGTTTTTTTTTGAACCTACCTTATGTACAAATAGGTAGATAAATCGTTACAAATGTTCAAACAAATTCAATCATAAATTTCGTTCTGTATATGTCACCTAACGATGCGCAGGTAGGGTTGTCCCCTAACTCTAAAACGGAAATTGCGGGGGAGCGAGTGATTTGCAAATGTTGAAAATGAGTTTGCAAATTATTGCAAACTATTTGCAAAATATTGGCACCGGTCCGAGATGGATCGGACGATGTGGGGGGGCTACGTGAAGTTGGCCCCCCCACACAAAAACGGAAATTGCGGGGGAGCGAGTGATTTGCAAATTTTGAAAATGAGTTTGCAAATTATTGCAAACTATTTGCAAAATATTGCCACCGGTCCGAGATCGATCGAACGATGTGGGGGGGGCTACGTGAAGTTGGCCCCTCCACACAAAAACGGATATTGCGGGGGAGCGAGTGATTTGCAAATTCTGAAAATGAGTTTGCAAATTATTGCAAACTATTTGCAAAATTTTGGCACCGGTCCGAGATAGATCGGACGATGTGGGGGGGCTACGTGTAGTTGGCCCTCCCAATTTTGAAATGATTCCCACAGCCACAGTTGAAGTTTGCAAATTCTAAAAATAGATTTGCAAATTATTGCAAAGTATTTGCAAAATATTTGTGCAGGTTTGAAATGAATTGGACAAAGTTGGGGGGCCAACTTCACTGACATCGCTACAACTTCGAGTCAAGAATTTCACGGAGGCAATTTGACAGAATCACCGTTGGGGAACTGATCACTTTC